AATATCAATTCTGAGAAACAAAGGGGGAAATAGGCATTACTTATCTTTTCTCATGTGTGTTAATTTATTTTTGGCATTATTATTTTATACAGAGCCTCCATTCTACCTTGAAAGAGATATGTGTCTCAACTCTCATCCATCCTCTTCCCAACAATATGGTCTTTCTGGACTTCACACACCTGCTGCTGTAAGCTATGGCGGTCTGGTTAAGTTTCAATCAATTTATCAAAAGCCAGAGTCATTTGGGAAGAGAGACCTCAAATGAGAAAATGCTTTCAAAATATCTTGTTGCTTATAGGCAATTCTGTTGGTCTTTGTCTTGATTAATGATTGATGTGGAAAGTCCCAGCCCACTGTGGGACCTGGTCTTGGTCCTTGTCCTGGGTTGTATCCAGTATGCCTCTCTCTCTCTCTCTCTCTCTCTCTCTCTCTCTCTCTCTCTCTCCCTCCCTCCCTCTCACCCTCCCTCCCTCCCCTGCCTAGCTTTTGCTTCAGTGCCTGCCTCCAAGTATCTGCCTTGAGTTCTGATGCTGACTTCCCTCAACAATGGATTTGATGTGGAAGAGTAAGACAAATAAATTATTTCATTTTTAGATTGCTGTTTGGGATTTATTTCAGTCACTGTAAGCAAGATAGGGCAGAAATTGGTGTAAGGTTCATAGATAACACTATGACATATCTGCCCATGTTGTTTTGGGGAAGACTATAGAAAGGCTTTGGAAGTTAGGCTAGAAAAGCCATTTGATGATTTGAGCTTAATGGGTTGTTTTGGAAGTACTTGAAAGATGATACTGTTGAGAAAAATGCAGATGATGAAGCCCTGGTTTGTGAAGTTTCAGAAAGAAGTGTGAGAGTCCTTCAAATACTCTATCAGGGCTGTTCATGAGATACTATGAATTAAGAATATGATGATTCTAGCAAGCTGGGGCTGAAGGATTGACTATGGTTAACAAGAGACCAGCATTACTCAAGTGAAACCTTTGGCTTACTCATTCAATGAATGCTGGTTAGAGCTGAAATATGATGATTATGAAGAGAGTCATCATGAGGCCAAAGTCTAGGAAGTTTTTTCTCACACAGAAATGGGGGTGCTGAGTGGGAGCTAAGATTGCATTTCAAGTTTGCAGAAAAAAAATGGTAATGTTTCAGAGTCCATTTTATATTACTAGTATTGGTGGTATGAAAGCTTGTAGTATTTTGATATTATGGGTCATGGAAAGAAGCTGAAGCTTAATACTGCAAAAGGTCAGTAGAAACAATTGGTAAATGTGAAAGTAAGCTGCAGTAGAAATACCAGGATGAAAGGAGTAATAAAAGAAGCTGAGGCTTGGAACTATGTAGTAAGGTGAGAGTCCCTGAAGAGAGGTCAGGAGGCCATTTGTGAAAGTGTAGCCTGTGGAGACTCAGCATATGGCAGAATGCCAGACCATGAGATGACTACCAAGGACAGAAGCAGTTATGGAGTGGCGCTAGCCTGAGCATTGCAAACAAGCCGTGTGTGCAATAGAAGGCAGGACAAGACAACTGAAGTTGTTCAAGTCATTTGGAGTCCAGAAGATTGTGATTAAATCCCAGAAACTGGACACTGAGTTATTTACTCGTTTGGAGTTTGGTTTTGCTTTGATCCGATTGTGACTGTGTCCTGGTTCATCACTCTGAGAGTAAGAAATTACTGAACTTATTTTTGATTTTACAGAGGGTCACAGTAAAAGACTTCAGATATTTTACAGAGACTAAATTTGTAATGAACAGAGATCACTTAAAGTTTCAATGTTGTATATTGTGATGTTGGTGTTAATATGAGATCCTGGAGATACACAAAAAAGGAAAAGACATTGTCTAACAGTGTTGTGTTGATGTGTCAAGTTAACAAAAGAAGCCAATAATCCTGATTAGTTTTTTCTTTTTTGACAACTCTGCACAAGCTAGAGTCATATAAGAAGAACCTCAGCTGAGAAAATGCCTCCTGTAAACTGGCTATAAGCAGGACTGTAGAGCACTTCCTGGATTAATTATTGATGTACATAAACCCACTTTGAGGGATTTCACCTTTGGAAAGGTAGTCCTGGATTATATAAAAAAGCAGGCTGAACTAACCATGGAGAGCAAGGCAGTAAAGAGCTTTCCTCCATGGCCTCTGCTTCAGTGACTGTCTCCGGGTTTTTGTATTGTTCACTCAGTAGTAGCCTATGATGTGCAACTATAAGCTAAACAAACCCTTTCCGCCTGAGTTACTTTTGGTTATGTGTTTAACACAGCGATAGAAAGCAAACTAGGGCATCTTTTCAGGTCATCCTTCTTACTTTGACCAGAGTTGGTCCTGAACGGTGCAAGTGTGTGTGTGTGTGTGTGTGTGTGTGTGTGTGTGTGTGTAGAGGGGAGTGAGAAGGGGGTGGGGGACAGATGAAGAAGAAGAGTGGAAAGTTAAGAAGTTTATATGCTAGCTGTTAGTCTACAACATGCATTTATTTTCTCCTCTCACTTAATAAAATAGAAAAAAACCTCATATTTGCGAAAGAAAATGATTGTTTTCTTTAATAGCAAGTGGTTTGACAAACATAAATCTGGTTTCTGGTGACAAAATTATTCATCACTTTCATTATCAAGCCCTGGGAAACTTGATAGGAAGGTATCCTAATTTGCTTTCTATTTCTACGGTAAAACGCTGATCAAAACTAAGTTGGGCAAGAAAGGATTACTTCACCATACAATTCTGGACCACATTTCACCAGGGAGGGAGGTCACACCAGAAACTCAAAGAAGGAACCTAGAGGAAGAAACTAAGGCAGAAGCCCTGGAAGAATGCTTCTTATTGGCATGTTCTCCATGAATGGTCCTCCCCCACCAATCAAAATTAAGGAATTGCCCTGTAGACGTAACTACAGATCAACTTATTAGAGGCATTTTCAGTTTCTTCTTAGATGACTATAGCCCATGTCAAGTTGACAAAAAAAAAAAAAAGAATACAACTGACTTATCTTGACACACAAGTATGTCACTATTAAACTATAACCTTAAATTTCTCGTTTTTCCAAGATTTTGTTATTATCATAACACAAGTCATAATATAATTTAAAAGTTCTATTATAGTATTTTTAAAATTCAAATACTTGTTGACATCCAGTTATGCCAGCACCATTTGCTGAAGATCCTTTCTTTTTTCCATAGTATAATTTTAGTTTCTTTGTCAAAAATCAGGTGTTCATAGGTGTGTGGATTAATAGTACGTTCTTTGATTTGATTTCATGTGTCTACCTGTCTATTTTTATGCCAATACTAATCTGTTTTCATTACTGTAGGTATATAATAGAGCTTGATGTCAGGGATGGTGATACCTCCAGAAGTTCCTTCATTTTACAGGATTGTTTGGGCTATCTTGGGCCTTTTGTTTTTTTCATATGAAGTTGAGTATTATTTTTTTTGAGGACTGTGAGGAATTGTGTTAGGACATTGATAGGGGTTGCATTGACTCTGTAGATTGCTTTTCGTAGGATTGCTATTTTTATTATGTTAATCATACCTTTCCAAGAATATGGAAGATCTTTTCATTTTCTGATATCGTCTTCAGTTTCTTTCTTCCAAGAAACTTAAAATTCTTGTCATATAGGTCTTTTCCTTTTATGGTTACTGTTACTTGAAAATATTTTATGTTATTTGTGGCTATTGTAAATGGTAATGTTTCTCTGATTTCTTTCTCAGCCTATTTATCATTTGTATATAGGAAAGCTACTGATTTTTTTTTCAGTTGATCTTGTATTCTGCCACATTACTGAAGGTGTTTATTAGCTATAAAAGTTCCCTCATAGAATTTTTGTGGTCACTTATGTGTACTATCATATCATATGCACATAGAAAAAGTTTGCCTTCTTCCTTTCTAATTTGTATCGTCTTGATATCCTTTTGTTGTCTTTTAACTCTAACCAGAACTTCGAGTACTATGTTGAATAGATATGGAGAGAGTGAACAGCCTTGTCTTGTTCCTGATTTTAGTGGAATAGCTTTGAGTTTCTTTCCATTTAATCTGATGTTGGTTGTCAGATTGCTGAATATTGCTTTTATTATGCTTAGATAAGTTCCTGTATCCCTGATCTCTTCAAGACCTTTATCATGAAGGGGTATTGAATTCTGTTGAATTACTTTTTCAGCATCTAGTGAGATCATCTTATTTTTTCCCAGTTTATTTATATGTTAGATTACATTGATAGATTCTTATATGTTGAACCATCTATTTATCTCCGGGATAAAGCCAACTTGAGCATGGTATATGATATTTTGATGTGTTCTGGAATTTGGATTGCCAGTATTTTACTGAGTATTCTTGCATCAAATGTTCATGAGGGAGATTGCTTTGTAATTCTTTTTCTTAGTTGAGTCTTTGTGTGGTTTGGGTAGAAGACTGCAAATAGATCCATATCTATCCCCATGTACACAAGTCCAATTGGATCAAAGACCTCAATATGAATTTAGCCACACTGAACCTCACAAAAGTGAAAGTGGTAAACAGCCTTGAATGCATGGGCACAGGAGACCGTTTCCTAAATATAGCACCAGTAGCACAGACACTGCGAGCAACAATACATAAATGGGACCTTCTGAAATTGAGAGGCTTTTGGAAGGCAAAGGACACACTCAGTAAGACAAAACAGCAGCCTACTAAATGGGAAAAGATTTTCACCACCTGGAACAGGACTGATATCCAAAATATATAAGGAACTCAAGAAACTAGACATCAAAATACCAAATAATCCAATTAAAAATGGGGTACAGATCTAAACAAAGAATTCTCAACAGAAGAATCTCAAATGGCCAAAAGACACTTAACATGCTCAGCATCCTTAGTCTTCTGGGAAATGCAAATCCAATGGGTTCTGAGAACCAGAATTATCTCACAAGTTAGAATGGCTAAGATCAAAAACACCAATGACAGGACACGCTTCCGAGTTCCGACTAAGCACGTGCAGCTACTGCTCAGTGCAGCCTGCTAGCGCGGCCCGGCAAACATGTCGCACTTACAGATGAAACTCCTGCGCAAGAAGATGGAGAAGCGGAACATCAAGCTGCGGCAGCGAAACCTGAAGCTGCAAGAAGCATCAAACACGAGCCTATCCCAACCTTCCAATGAAGATGTGCCGAAAGAAGAGGTAAAGGTCAGAAAAGTTAAGAAAGCCGTAAAGCATGCTGCGAGGGTGGGCTCAGCAGAAGCACAAAGTGGAGGCATGCCTGAAGAGACAGCGGAAAACTCGAAAGTTGAAAAGATACCCCAGAAACCTACTGCTTTAACCAATGGAGAAACAGCAGCAGCGCCATCTCCTGATTCAGAATCAAAAAAGAAAAAGAAGAAAAAGAGGAAAATGGCAAATGACGCAGAGCCTGACACCAAAAAAGCAAAAACTGAAGAAAGCACTGTGGCTCTTGAAGCAGAAGATGCTGTGGAGAAGCCAGATGACAAGGAAGTCCCCAGCCTGCCCCTGGGGCTGACAGGGGCTTTTGAGGACACTTCGTTTGCTTCCTTGTCTAATCTCGTCAATGAAAACACTCTGAAGGCTATAGAGGAAATGGGCTTCAAGCGCATGATTGAGATCCAACATAAAAGTATCAGGCCACTTCTGGAAGGCAGGGATCTTCTAGCAGCTGCTAAAACCGGCAGTGGCAAAACTCTGGCTTTCTTCATCCCTGTGTTCGAGCTCATTGTGAAGTTAAAGTTTATGCCCAGGAATGGAACAGGAGTCCTGATTTTCTCTCCTACCAGAGAACTGGCCATGCAGACCTTTGGTGTTCTTAAGGAACTGATGACGCACCATGTTCACACATACGGGCTGATCATGGGTGGCAGTAACAGGTCTGCTGAAGCGCAGAAGCTCACCAATGGTATCAACATTGTCGTGGCCACCCCCGGCCGGCTTCTAGACCACATGCAGAATACTCCAGGGTTCATGTACAAGAACCTTCAGTGTCTCGTTATTGATGAGGCTGATCGTATCTTGGATGTTGGATTTGAAGAAGAATTAAAGCAAATTATTAAACTTTTGCCAGTACGCAGGCAAACCATGCTCTTTTCTGCCACACAAACTCGAAAAGTTGAAGACTTGGCAAGAATTTCTCTGAAAAAAGAGCCATTGTATGTGGGTGTTGATGATGATAAAGAGGTTGCCACAGTGGATGGACTTGAGCAGGGATATGTTGTGTGTCCCTCTGAGAAGAGGTTCCTTCTGCTCTTCACATTCCTTAAGAAGAACCGGAAGAAGAAAGTGATGGTCTTCTTTTCGTCGTGTATGTCTGTGAAGTACCACTACGAGCTACTGAACTACATCGACCTGCCTGTCTTGGCCATCCATGGAAGGCAAAAGCAAAATAAGCGAACAACCACGTTCTTCCAATTCTGCAACGCAGATTCAGGGATACTGCTGTGCACAGATGTGGCAGCCAGAGGGCTGGACATCCCTGAAGTTGACTGGATTGTTCAGTATGACCCTCCCGATGACCCGAAGGAATACATTCATCGTGTGGGTAGAACGGCTCGGGGCCTGAACGGAAGAGGGCATGCCCTGCTCATCCTGCGCCCTGAAGAGTTGGGTTTCCTTCGTTACTTGAAGCAATCCAAGGTTCCACTGAATCAGTTCGACTTTTCCTGGTCTAAAGTTTCTGATATTCAGTCTCAGCTGGAAAAGCTGATCGAAAAGAACTATTTTCTCCATAATTCCGCGCAGGAAGCATACAAGTCCTACATACGAGCCTACGACTCCCACTCTCTCAAGCAGATCTTTGATGTGAACAACTTAAACTTGCCTCAGGTGGCTCTGTCCTTCGTCTTTAAGGTTCCTCCCTTCGTTGATCTGAACGTGAGCAGCCATGATGGCAAGCTTAAAAAAAGAAGAGGTGGCGGTGGATTTGGCTACCAGAAAACAAAGAAAGTGGAGAAGTCCAAGATCTTTAAACACATCAGCAAGAAGACAGCGGACCGCAGGCAGTTTTCTCACAGACAGGAATGGCTTTCTACCTGGACTTTGCCCTAATTTCCCCCTTTTTCTTAAGAAGGAACTTTTTAAAATCAAAAAAAAAAAAAACACCAATGATAGCTCATGCTGGAGAGGATGCCATGTAAGGGGAATATTCCTTCATTGCTGGCGGTTTCTCAGATAATTGGGAATTGACCTACCTGAGGACCTCTTGTTCATATAGCCAAAGGATGTTCAATCATACTATAAGAACATTTGCTTGATTATGGTCACAGCAGCATTATTTGTAATAACCAAAACCTGGAAACAACCTAGATGCCCCTCAACCAAAAAATGAATAAGGAAAATGTGGTACATTTACATAATGGATACTACTCAGTGGTAAAAAAAAAAATGATGTCTTGAAATTTGCATGCAAGTAGATGGGATTAGAAAAAAACCCTCAGTGAGGTAATTCAGACCCAGAAAGACGAACATGGTATGTACTCACTCATAAGTGGATATTAGATAGATGTAAAGTAAAGGATGGCCAACCTATAGTCCATGACCCCAGAGAAGTTAGGTAAGAAGGGGAACCCTAAGAGAAACACATGGGTCCTCCCTGGGAAGAGGAAATAGACAAGATCTCCTGAGAAAATTGGGAGCATGGGAGTTGAGGCAGAAGGGAGGGCAGAAGGGGCCAAGGAAGGGAAATGAGGAGGGAGAGGAGAACATGAGGAAATGGGATGGTCAAGATGGGGAAGGGAAGAGAGGTAGAGCAAGGAAAAAGATATCTTGATTGAGGGAGCCATTATGGGGCTAGGAAGATACCTGGCACCAGGTAAATTCTCAGGAATCCAAAAGGATGACCCCAGCTAAGACCTTAAGCAATAGGGGAGAAGGTGCCTGAAATGGCCTTCACCTACAATCAAATTGATGACTACTTTAAGTGTCATCATAGAACCTTCATTCGCAACTGATAGAAGCAGATGTAGACATCTACAGTGAAGCACTGGGCTGAGCTCCCAAAGTCCAGTCAAAGAGAGGGAGAAGAGATAATATAAACAAAGGGGTCAAGACCATGATAGGAAATACCCATTGAAACAGCTTACCTGAGTTAATGGGTTCTCACTGACTCAGGACTGACAGTGGGGAAACCAGCAAAGGACCAAACTAGGTCCTCTGAATGTGGGTGACAGTTGTATGCCTGGTACAGTCTTTGGGGCCCACTGGCAGTGGGACCAGGATTTATCCCTACTACTTGAATGGTTTTTTAGAGCCCATTCTTTTTGGAGGGATACCTTGTTCAACCTAGATATAGATATAGGGTCTTGATCCTTCCTTAAAGCAATGTGCTAGACTTTTTTGCCTCCCCATAGGAAGCTTTACCCTCTGTCTAAGGAGTGGATAAGGACCATGGTGGGGAAAAAGTGGAGGGAGCAGAAGGAGGGGAGGAAGTGGGAATTGTGATTGGTATGTAAAATTTTAATTAAATAATGATAATGATAATAATATATTCAAATACTTTAAAATTCTAGTCTCTAAACTATTCTTTTTTTAAATATTTATTTATTTATTTATTATGCATACAATGTTCTGTCTGTGTATATGCCTGCAGGCCAGAAGAGGGCACCATACCTCATTACAGATGGTTGTGAGCCACCATGTGGTTGCTGGGAATTGAACTCAGGACCTTTGGAAGAGCAGGCAATGCTCTTAACCACAGAGCCATCTCTCCAGCCCTCTAAACTATTCTTTATTTAAAATTCTATTGTCTCAATTGTGGTATCCTACAAAATTAAAAAAAATGAATTATATACTTTGTGTTTTAATCAGAAAGAACCAGAGCACAATTACCATCAAATAAAAGCAAAACAATCATTTAGCAGTTTTACACAAGCTTTGGGGCTTTAAAAGGATTAAACAGCTCTGCTTGTCTGGCTCTGGCTTTCAAGGCACACATAGTTTGTCTCATAGGATCAGGCTGTCTCCACTCTACCCCTGCTTCTGTCATTAGTGGCCATCTGATAGTTTGGTATAATTAATATTCTGGGGTCTCCATAAGCTGTACCTTCACCAATGTCCTCCTGGCTCCCTGTAAGAGATTCTGGCCTGCCACATGCTTCCAAGCCTCCATTCCCTTCCATGACCAAATTAACTTGTGTTTCCATTGCAAATAGGGCTATACATTTTTACCAATGACCTCTTTTGTTCTCTCATAGTGTCATGCCTAAGCCTTTCTCTATGATCTCTTTGTTCCTGAAGTCTCCGTGGCAACTATAGCTGTACCTTCACCAGTAGCCTCTCTAACTACCAAGACTCAGCTCTGCTCCATGATTTCCCTTCAGTCAGGAGGCTCCCAAGTCATCAAAGCCAGTAAAAGAAAGGAGATTCTTACACATTACCAAGCTCACCTGCCAGCATAAGATGCAATCTTGGGTCTATCTGAAACAAGTCTGTGTGCTGATCCTGAAGAAATACTCTGGATTTTATCTCAATGTTTCTTGTCTCTTCTTAATCACAGCTAATTTCTCAGTCCCATCTAGTTTCCAGTGTCCCCGTAAAGCAAATATTTCACAACAAGAATCCTAATTTCTTAAACACTACTGATTTTTCAGTCCTACCTGAGCAGAACCACCGATTCTCATCCAAAATATCGCACACATAGTATTATAGAGTCTCTGGGGGGACTCACACACTCCCTTCAGAACCCGCAGAAGCCAGGCTTCCATCACTTTCGTTGCTCTCAGCATTATCTGCTAAGTTCCCATAGCAGTCTATTAAGTTCTCAGTGGCCCAAATTCCTAAACACTTCTGCAGTCACACCCAAAACAACATGGCAAAGTCTTCAAAGCAAAAGCTTGTCAATCTTGTACTTGTTTTTGGTTTAGTTAAGTTTCTATTACCATGAAATAACACCATGATCAAAAGCAACTTGGGGAAGACTGAGTTTATTTTAGCTTACAGTTTATAGTTCATCTTGAAGAGAAGTCAGGGCAGGAACTCAAGACAGGGACTGAAGTAGAAGCCATGGAGGTACCTTATTTATTTGTTTGCTCTTTATAGCTTGTTTGGTTTACTTTCTTATACAACTAAGGACCACCTGCCAAGGGTGGTGCCCTATGTGGTAGGCTGGGTTCCCTATCATCACTCATTCATCAAGAAAATATCCCACAGATTTTCTCATAGCCCAATGTGATAATCAATATTTTCCCCAATTTCAGTTCCCCTTTTCACGATAATCCTAGCTTGTATTAAGCAGATGAGGCAGGAGAGAGAGAGAGAGGGAGAGAGAGAGAGAGAGAGAGAAAGAGAGAGAGAGAGAGGAAAATAGCTAGCATAGGGTGGCTAGTTCAAGAGAAGGCAATGGGATTTGGGATAGCTGTTAGATGTTCTTAGATATTCTTAATGAAGTAATATGCAAAAGCACTTTGGATATATTCTGGAAGAGTTGATTCAGATAAAGAATCATGTCACTGGAAAATTCAACTCTCTCCTTACAGTGACTATAGTGAATAACGAGGAATTCTAAAGAGAACACCAGACTTTTAAAGTTATTACCAGGTAAGAAAAGATTTTTACTTTATTTTATTTTGTGAGGTGAGGAGAAAAAAAAATCAATCTATCCAGTAAATCTGTCACTATAATTTCAGTTACCAAACAAATGCACTTCTCAGGTCCCCACTTGAGACTATATACCACACCTTAAAGCGTACTACCAACCCTTATAGTGCAGGGCAAGCATTTGCGGTTAATGAATATTTAACCATACAATTTCAAAGCTTCTGTTACAACAAGAAATATGAGAGCAAACAGTGCAGAAAGAAGAGGAACTGCAGACAACTGAACTGATGACGGAGGGGGAAGCCAAGGTTAGAGAAAAAGAAGAGGAGATTCCCAGCTCTTAAACAGAAAGGAGCTGCCATCCACCCATGTATCTTTCAGTCTGTCCTCATCTCCAGAGACAATTCATTTTGCTAGGAAACAAAATTTATTTTTGAATAATTTGTCGCAGAAGTAAAACCATAGCTTGACACTTACATTTCATTTGCTTGAAGATGGACTTGTTAGGTTCTAGCCAGTGCTGGGGAGAAAACACAAACAAAACAGAGATAGTTAGTGTGAATGAAAAATCCTGAAAAGAAACTGAAACTGGGTGAATAGATTGGAACATTACATGTCCAGAGGCTAAATGTCTCACATGGGGCTAGTTCTAGACTTCAAGAACACTTGCCCACTACTGTAACAGATTTTTTGAGTAACAGATAAAATAGAAAGCTTTTAGAATCTAGTAAAACAGACAACTAGGTTTCACCAATCCAACAGCTAAGATTGGCATCAGATAGCATATTGGGCCTATAGAAAAGTTTCCCTTAACTTGCTATACCTGCTTCTCTAATGTACCCATGAATGGACTTTTGAAGAGTTAATGAATTAAAAACCTCAGGCTAACTGAGACACTCTGGGCAGGAATGCTGACTTAAGTGATATCATCTGTGGAAGTTTCTGTTGAGGAGATCAACAGTCTAATTCCCCAACCCCAAGCTGGTATCTTCAACTCTGAGACTGCAGGGGAATGGAGCTACAGAAGGAGTCTCCCATACCAAAAGTTTCCCTATCAGGATGAACTTAGTTTGGACCAGAAATGTTCGACTTCACTCCACAAACCCTGACCCCGAAAAATCTATTTGCTAGGATACTACTGGAACTCCTAGGCCCTAAATGTTCTCAGAAAAAACAAAAACATGCCACAGTCAACACCTGCAAGTTTCATACTTTCAACTCCCTGAGATAAGCCTGCCCCAAAGGTACTTGCGGCCCGATCTCTATTTAGCAGTGTGGTTGTTAAGGACAGTCGGCTTCTGTTGACGGTGTAGTTGTGCTCCCATTTCTTTTCCAGATGTCACAGTCATTTCATTCTAACATTTGGAAAACAGTGAGGAATTTCAGGGGGCTCCTTCCCCAGTAGACTGCTCTCTCTCTCTCTCTCTCTCTCTCTCTCTCTCTCTCTCTCTCTCTCTCTCTCTCCCTCTCTTCCTCTCTCCCTCTCTCCTGTCTCTCCCTTTTATTATACACGT